GAGAAGATATAATGGCTGAGTATTTTCGAGAGTAAACAAGGCATTGGATATAAAGATATTTGGATAGAAAAGAAAGACCCATAAATTATTAACGTATTTATCACGTACCAAAAAGACGACCTGTGATGAATTGGTCTTCAAGAAGTGGATCGATCTTGGATAATTCTTTACGCTCTTTGATTTTACGTTGAACTTTATTCGATCGACTTTTCGTTAATTCCTCCGACTCGGTCTACAACAACGGTTGTTATATTGCCAAGTTAATCACAAGTTCATTTTATCGCCAACAAAGTTCAATTCTCTATTTCAAACTTTCTCTACTCATTCGTAACCTAATCATCGTCCCGTCCCCGTTTCCCAATCACCGAGCTCCCACCGAATAATCTCGTTTGATCCAACTCCCGCCGTCTTATTCCATCCATACCTGTCCCTCCTTTTTTGCCTTGCTCCTTCGAAGCGGTTGAGCATAATGAGCCTCATACCATTGCTTGAAAGGTGTCGCATCAATCTGTACAACGGCTCCCTTCACAAGCGTGTTCGTCCTAACCAGTTCATTGTTCGAAGCATTGTAGACGACCGCGATGATTCTAGTTTTTCTCGTAACAGCCTCTGATCCCCAACTGTAATTGCCGGAATCTAAGCGCATGGCACGGAATTTAATGTTCCCACCACGCACACGTACAGAGTGAATACGCTTTGCACCTAATTTCGTGTTTGCGGGTTGACGGCCGAGCTCGAACTTTCTCTTTTTACGATAATGGGCTCTTTTAGCCCCCGTATGAGAACGTTTGTGGCGGGAGTCTCTACTGATACCTAGAAAGAGGCGGAAGTGGAATTAACCAAATTAAGGGAGGGAAATCATTAGTCTCGACTCGGCAAATGTATGCGATCTGTTGTTTCTTACAAAGCCTGTCTCACTAATGCGTTTTGCAAAGCGAAGCAGGCGTGAAATAAATAAACACAACTTTTGTAAAATATCAGCCTTCAACTCTGGTATTTAAACTAGTAATCGTGACATGGTTAATAGGACTATGGATGATGACTCTTTATCTCTATCGATCAAAGTATGATCGATGGATGGATGGATGAATGGATGTAACTTGTTTACTAACCCATGTTGCCCTATATTCCCGTGTTTAGACAAAGAGGAAGAACCATCGTTACAAGAAATTCGCTTAAGAATTTTGTGCAAATTACCAACAATCTTTCCGAAACATTTAGCAACGTCACCGTTATTGACCAATGATTTACGCGCTTAATTACATACTTTTGCAAAAATTTTTTGATAGTCAGCGTATCCGGGTGGGTTGCTAAACCGGAAGGAACGATTGCGGTTGGAACTTGTAATTATGGCGCCATTTTATCAACGTCCTGAGAATGCGCTAAAGAGGGCTGAAGGTATAGTTGTCATTCGGTAGAATCTTGGCAAAAAGTTGTGGATAAGCGATATTAGTTTGTTTTTTGTTCACGCTCGCTACTACTCGAATTCAAACATTTGGATCTTTTGGAAAAAGTAGTATAAATACAAAAGTTACATTTGATGGTGTCGCTGTATTAGTCATATTGGACCGAATAAATCTTTTATAATCGGTTGATTTATACGTTTGTCTTTTTCTGATCCGAATTAACACCATAGAACTCATCGCGGTCGGTCAGAATGCCGCAGCATTAACATCACTGCATGAGATTATAATTTCGAAAAGGTCGCGCAACCAGCAGCCTACCGCTCTGGAACCGATCATGCTTTTATTTGTCAAGTTGTGCGTTGATCTAAGAAAGGGGAAAGTCGTTAAGGAAGGTTTGCTTCAATACAAGAATATTTCTCAGAATTCTAATGTACCAACTATCGAGGTATGAGAGGGGAGGTGCTAATCAAGATTATTTCTGTCAGTAAATTTGTTGACTTTTTGTCTGCTATCGTAGCTCGTAATCAAGAAATTTATCGAATTGAGCGAAGAAAAGGTTACGGCAGCCCAAGCGAAAGCTGATAAAATCGCCTTGGATGTCGATGATCTTGAAGCATCAGAGACACCAGAATCCATCATGTTGAGTACTGTCAGTGGAGAACAGAGCAAGGATAGAACTGACAGAGCTGTTGTCACACCGTGGCTTAGATTCCTATGGGATGCATATCGGACAGTATTGGACATATTGAGAAATAATGCACGATTAGAAATTTTGTATCAGGTGATTAAATGTCATGTTCAAAAAATTTCACAAAATCGACACTATCTCTGACGTACTTTTTTTTGTTTCAGGAAATTGCTCATCAAGCATTCCAGTTCTGTTTAAAATACTCTCGGAAAACAGAATTCAGAAGATTGTGTGATCTACTTCGGAACCATCTCCAAAACATATCCAAATATGCGCATCAACCACACGCAATAAACTTGAATGAACCCGAAACGCTTCAACGTCATTTGGATACTCGCTTTTCTCAACTCAATGCCGCGGTCGAATTGGAACTGTGGCAGGAAGCGTTTCGTTCAGTGGAAGACATACACAATCTGTTATCCATGTCGAAACGACTTCATAAGCCGGTGATGATGGCAAATTACTATGATAAATTGACAAAAATATTTCTAGTCAGTGGTAATTACCTGTTCCATGCGGCCGCTTGGAACAAATATTATACTCTGGTCAAAATGCAAAATAAATCATTGACAGATGAAGAGAACACTCGAATGGCATCTTTCGTGCTGCTATCCGCTCTAGCAATTCCAGTGATTACAAGTTCAAAGACGAGAGCGTTAATAGAACTTGATGATACAAAGAGTAAACATCACCGACTTGCCGTATTACTTGGAATGAGTCGTGCTCCGATGAGAACTGGCTTGCTAAAAGAAGCTGTGGGTATTTCTCATATTATTATTATACTTATATTTTGGGAAGTCTGCCTTGTTTCAATTTCATGATTTTTAATACCGAACCTTTAACTTAAAAATCTAGCTAAACAAGAACATTTTAAGGCGAGTTCGCCCTGAATTGAGAGAACTGTACAACATCTTGGAAGTGCAATTCCATCCGCTGTCAATTTGCAAGAAAATCGAACCAATCATGGCCCAACTTGCTCAAGACAAAGAAATGGTTAAATACGTCAAACCTCTTCATCAAGTCATATTGACCCGTCTATTCCAGCAACTTTCGCAAGTGTATGATACGGTCAAACTTGATTTCGTTGTTAATCTCGCCTCCTTCCCTGCTCCCTACAAATATGACGCAGCAGCTATCGAAAAATTCATCATGAACGGATGCAAGAAGGGCGAACTGTCGATTCGTATAGATCATACGACGAGCAGTTTGACTTTCGAGACTGATTTGTTTTCTGCTCCCAAGAATTCTGAAGCCGATGGAGTCAAGCTACAATCGTCGCCGGCGGATAGGATGCGTGATCATTTATCAAAGCTTGCTAAATGTTTCCATGCGACAGTGCACATGATTGACCCTTCTATAGTTGAAGACAAGGAAGAGGCTAAAAGGCAGGCTCTTCAGCGAGCATTGGCTGGCATGACGGAAGAACATAATAAAGCTCTTGCACGAAAAGCCATAATAGAACGAAGAAAGAAGCTTGTCGAGACGTTACTTGTGCGCAAGGAAAAAGAAGAGCAACGAGAAAAAAGCTTACGGCAAAAGCAAATGGAGGAAGACGCGCAAAAACGTGCTATAGAAGAGGCCCTGAAACGAGAACGGGAGAGACGTCAACGTGAGCTCGAGGCTATTCAAAAGGAAGAAGCCAAAAAATTGGCCGAATCTCTTAGGAACAAGAATCTAAAAGTCGAAGCCAAGGTTATTTTTAAATTTATTGGTTACCATTATTTTCACGACCACGTCAAATTAATACATGTATCGCTTTTTATAGGATCTCGAGACTTTGGATACCGAGAAACTTGTTCAATTACAAGTAGAGCAGCTTGAAAAAGAAAAACGTGAACTCAATGAACGCCTCCGAGCAACAGCCAAACGAATGGACCATTTAGAACGTGCATATCGCAAGGAGGAGATTCCTCTTCTCGAAAAAGATTATGAACGACAAAAGAAAGCCGATAAAGCCCTTCATGAGGCTGCTCGCCAAGTTCAACTCCAAACTGCCCGGGCCAAGCATACAAGCGATCTCAAAATCAAGGAAAGACTATCCAGAATGCTGTCAGATTATCATAATTATCGTGCGGAAATAGAGAACAAACGTTTCGAAGAGTTTGAACAACGTCGGTTGGCGGCACAGGCAAAGATTGAAGAAGAGAAGGAAAAGAGGAGGCAATTGTTCAGGGCGAAGAAAGAAGAGGAACGGAAGAAGAAGGAAGCGGAAGAAGCAGCGAGACGAAAACAAGAAGAAGAAGCAAGGCAACTCCAAGAGGGTACGAAATCGTCACCAGGAGTTATTGTATATGACGTTAACAGTATTATTTTTGTTTTTTAACTATCGTTTTATTTATTACAAACTTGAACAATGCAGAACTCGAAAGACAGCGCCAAGAAGAACTCGAAAGGAGAAGGTATATGTCCAAAATTTATCCAAATTCTGCTCTAGCTTATAAGTGCTGCATCTTATTCACATTAAATTTTCACAAAATTAGGAAACTCGACGAAGTTGTCGCTATACAACGCCAAAGAGAAGAGGCGGCAGAGCAAAAACGTCTTGCACGCGAAAAAGAGTTGCGGGAGCGGGACGAACAAGAACGAGAACGCAGACGCGAAGAAGAACTTGCTCGATCACGTCAAAATCCTCCTGCTTCGCCTGTCGCTGCTAGCTCAGCCGGTGCTTACGTACCACCAAACAGACGTCGTCCGACCGAAACGCCATGGCGTCGAAACACAGAGGAGGTGAAAGCGACGCCGGCGAAGGATGCGCCAACTCATTCCGGCAAAGAGGTGCGCCGTCCTCTGCGAACTGAAGATAGCGAACCGCCAAGAACCGATAAGAAACCTTGGCGTCGTTCTGATGCTAAGCCTGATCAAATGAGCGAATGGCGTAGATTGGATCCAGGAAATGTAAGCAAACGCGTGGGTGAGGAACAGCGAAAAAGGCAAGATAGCGAAGATGGCGGACGTGGGCCACCGCGGATCCTGCGGACGGGTTCAGGTTCAGAGAGTGGATGGAGAGCGCGTGAAGCTGCCAAAAAAGCTGCCAGCAATGAGGCTGATGGTGAGGGTCGGGATAGGGAAGATCACCAACATGCCGATGAACCTGCTCAGGCTGATGATGACGGATTTACATTGATTAAGAGACGTAAGAAATAGATTGTATTGGGGAGTAGGCGATTTTTTTTAATTGGTACCTTCCATTGTGAAAAATGTTGCGGTTTTTATTCTATTTTATTTTATTTTATTTTATTATTTTTCTCTCTCAATTGACGGCATGCGAATAGCATTCCATCTCAAAAAAGAACGAGTTAGTTTTTGGGGGATTTGTTTTTTGCATTTCATATTCGATAGAAGTTCGGACACACTATTTCTTATTCTTAGTGTACATACGTTATGTATTTTTTTTCTTCTTTTCTTCAACCATCACTAATAAACATATGAACTCTCGAGTTTCTTCTGATTTTAACATACATACTGTGTCAGCCTCATACTTGTCGAGCGGTTCTGTAATTGCAATAATTGCATATTAACTATTACTTTGATTTATCGCTTGCGTTAATGGATAGCTGTAATGCACATGGTAAATGCAAGAACCATAAAGGCGAGAGTAATACTCGATAATCAATGGAAGGATTTTTAATTAATTTCCTGGATCGATTACATCATAGTATTGTACTCATCATGCACTATAAACAATATTCGTTTCACTGTTGCTTTGTTTAGTAAAAGGGTCATATTGCCAGATCGAACGTTGGACAATAGTCTTTTGTGACAAATTCGGAAAATTTATTAATGACAGCTAATAAAAAAGACTACCCAGTAAGCCTATTTTGGAATGAATTATATCGACCCGTAGTCAACTCAAATATTAATCACTGTGAGTATTTCCAATGGTTAACCGCATTGTTATTATCGAAAATACTTGGATTGAAGAATTAAGATTGTTCAGTGATCAAACTGATTATTTTATACTGTAGTAGTGGCATAGCTTTCCTCCGAGTGGTTACATTTTACAGCGTTTTGTGCAGGTTATTGGACTATACGATTAAAAAAAGCAACGAAAATCCTTTCAGAAGAAAACGGTTCGATTTCTAATTTTTTTTTATAAGTACTCGCGAAAAATTATACCAAAATTAAACAATATTAACATGTACGTAATTTTTAAATTTGTCCGATTAGTATTAGTGCGCATAAAAGCTGTCTTTACAACATTCAATCAACATCCAATGCGAAAATTCTAATCTGATTGTTTGTTATTCAGGCTTCTAAGATGCAATTCATTCTATAAAGGTATTTCTATATATATGCGTAATTAAGGCCACATTATTGTATCAACGACTTTATCGCATTATCTACAATGTCATCTGGATTTGTGCCATTACATGTATGCATGTCAACGCCAAAATATGGCCCATGGTGAGCGCCAAAATTGAGATCAACCACATTAACAGAATTAATACAGTTTGGATTTTCATCACCACCACACTGTTTTGCCCCGCCTGATTCTGCAGTCGCATCGTCTTGGATCCAAATCTCTCCGTTGTGATGACGGTAGCCAAGAAAATTCGGCGGAAGACGCGTGTATGGGTCGACCGTATGTACAAGGCGATTGACAACCTAGTTATGTACAGTATATAGTAATAATAGTTTGAATCAATACATGATATTGAGAAAGAAAAATAGTTTACGTTGATGTAAGCGTACCAATGTCTTGTCAACGTAGTTGGCAAATATATCATTTCCAAGCCGTGGCTGACCAAGCGTGGTAAGAGAGAGTTTGTCGAACTTTAACGTATCGTTATTCTGAGCAAAATCAAGCCCAGCCAATACAGCCAAAGCTAATAAAAATATTGTATAAAATATTCAAGCGTGAGTTGTAAGCACACACACAACAAATCAAATTAAAATCATTGTAATGCTATCAATGATAGTTTACCTGCACCGAAACTATGTCCGGAAACATCGATGCTATATCCGGGATTAAGTTCCAACTGTTTTTGAACTTCATTTACGAGTCCATCTCTTATCTCTTTGAATGCATCCATAAACCCAGCGTGCACTTTTGCATCAGGAACAGGCGTATAATCACCAAATAAAAAGTGAAGATCTGTAGTAATAGTTCTAAAATCCTGCGGCAAAGTACCACGGAAACCAACAATTATCTTTCTATCGTCTGGTTTTACTGCAACAAAGACGCGAGATTCAGCAGCTTTTCCTTCAATTACGGATATCAACTGCGTTCCCGGTGTCGAATCGCAAATCAGACCACAGTCCCAATTGGTAGTTAAGTTATTACAATAAGCTGCGGCAGCATAAAATGCCGATGTGCGATAGGTGGAAATGAGATCGGGTGAAGTTATAGGAGTTACGGGAAAAGGTGTAGTAGAATTGGTCGAGTTGTTGTCGGTATTGTTGGGAGTTGTTGAGTCGGTGAATGAGACTGGGGCCGAGTAAGCGAAATTAGAGAAGATGAGAAAAATGGCGAAAATAGCGATAATGATGTGAATAAGAGTGGAGGGTGAGTGTGAGTTGTATGATGCCATTTTTGGGAGAGATTTATGTTTCTACTA